AGAAAATGTGTGTGTGGTCCCCCCCCCCCCCAATTCATATGTTGAAACCCTGACTGCCTAATGTGATTGTATTAGGAAGTGAGGCCTTTGGGAGGTGATTAGGTCATGAGGTTGGAGTCCTCATGAGTGGATTAGTACCCTTATAGAAGGCAGAGCTTGCTTCCTCTCCACTCTCTCTTCCATGTGAGGACACAGTGAGAAGGCGGCCATCTGTAAACCAGGAAGTGGGTCCTCACCAGAACCCAACTGTGCTGGCACCCTGACCATGGACCTCCCAGTCTCCAGGACTGTGGGAAACTAAATTTCTGTCGTTTAAGCCACCCAGCCTGCAAGAATTTGCTACAGCAGCTGAATAACGACAAAGCACTCGGAGCATTCAGACCTCTATCTTTCCTCCCGTCCTGGTCTCCCAACGCTGCATACCCTCCACCTTTGTTTCCACCTAAAAGAGCAGTGAGGATACGAAGCAGCTTGGAAGCCCTACAGACCCCGCCCTCGGCACCACCAGCACAGGATCAGGCCCTGCACAGCCGGCAAGCATCCAGGGCACGGGTACTCAGCTCACCCTCATGACAACCCTGAGAGGTAGATATCCTCGGCCCCATTTCACAGGGAGAGTTTACAGGGTATATTTTCATTGGCCAGGACGCCATTCTCAGCAATGGAGTCTGACTGCCTGCCTCAAAATGCTGACGTATTTATCCAGAACCACATTTTCTTCCCAAGAGTCGAAGGGAACTAGGGACCACGGTGGACTTCTGTTAACCTTTTCCTAAGGTATCCTGACAGACCCAGTAAAGGGAAACTGCCAGGAAGGAAGGCCTATCTCACAGCTCTCTGGATTTGAGCTGGCTCTCTCTCAGGACCTTGCAAACATCTGATGGAAGCCTGCGCCTTCTCCCCAGGGTCCACCCAAGACACTAAGGAAGATTTCAAGGGTGAATGGCATCTTAACTTCCACAACTTAGCAGAGCCCAGAGAGAAACTCCGTGCAGAGGCCACTGCTAGAGAAGAATCAAAAGGAGTGCCCCTGGAGGGACCACAGTGACACACTATCCCCTAGAAGGTCCAGAATGGAGGGCAGTGTGCTTACCAGTGTTGATGGTCTTCTTGATGACAACAGCTACCTGCCCCCTGAGCACAGAGCCCAAGAGCTTGACAATTAGGACCAGGCAGCTACAGAGGACCAGCAGGGAGACTACCAGCAGAATGGTGCCCACAACAACATCTGGGAGGTTGAAATTCACGAAGATGTGCTGGCCTGGAGAGACCACAGAATGCCCTCGTTAGGAGGGCCACAGATTGCTGCTTATTCCCCAGCATCTTTCCGTCTCAGAGTAACAGAATCTTGGTTGTCAGCTTGACACACAGCAAGGCAGCCCAGAATAAAGACCACACTTTCCAGCCTCCCTTGCAGCTAAGTATAGCCCTGAGGCTATGTTCTGGCCAATGGGATCTCATGAGGGTGAAGATGTAGTGAAATCCAGGGGCAGACCCAGGTTTCCAGCCCCATTCTTCTGCCTCTAAATCCCATGTTGTGTTTTAGTCATGATAATGAGGATGCCTACAACGAAGTATTTGAGGAGCAAGGTGGGGTAGGATGGGCAAGTCAGAGTGGGAGCTATTGTTAATTATAAAACTCCTTGTGTTTTTTAAAAATCCCTGTGTGTCCCCATGATGATTCCAGAAAAACATGCTTATATCAATGGATGTATAGAACCTAGAACACGGGAGGTGATATGTTCACTTGATCCTGTGAGGTAAAGCACACCTGGAGTATTAAGGTATATGGCTCAGAATTAATGTGGGGTGCACGGAGAGAAGGAGAAGCAGAGATATGCAAATGGGTATATAAGGAATTAATAATTAGAAGAACTAACGTCAGGCCCATAAAAGAGTCCAGAGGCAACAGTATAGCTTCTTAAAGAACTGGAGCATCATGCAGGCTCACTGCTTTGTTCAGTGCTATAGCCCTGCTATATGGGGCCTGCTGTACCGGACAGACTCATGACTTGAGGGTGAATGTGTTCTGTGTGTGCCCCACATCTCCTTCAAATCAGGCTGCCATCTCCCTAGAGGTACTGCCAAAGGGATACTGAAGCACATAGAAGGACCACTCTGGTATCTGTTGAGGAGTTCTGAATCCGTCTGGAACTGCCAGAGGAACTGAATACCAAGTCCTACTTCTGCCCCTTACGGGGGGACCTTGGGACTGTCCCCTGTCCCTAAGCCTTAGTTTCCTCCGCTGTGAAAGCTCACAGCTCATTGGCCAGTGTAGGACTGGTGTTCAGTGAATCTCACTGCCCTTCTTTCCTTCACTTACTGGGGCTCCACACAGATAGGAAACACCTATCATCACCCCAGACAGCCTGTCCTGGCGGCTGATGCTCTGTGAGCTTCACTCACACTTGGCAAGGTTCTCCTGGTGGGTCATGTTCTTGATGGTCCAGGTGTGCAAACCATCCGTCCAACAGAGGGAAGGAGAGGTGCAGTTGTCAGGCGAGGGGACGGTGACATTCCTCTCAGTCTGGGTGGCAAACATGAGAAATGCTATGTATAGTCCATAACACTCATTTCTGGTGGGGAATGGCAGGAAATGCGAGGCGTCAGGGGAGACCCATATCAATTCGTGCACCGTAAGTATGATGAATTGCTTCCATGGGTCCCTCCATAAATGCAAGCAAGGAGGCAGCCAGAGGTAAGCCAGGAGACATGAAAATAACAAGCCAGGAATAATGGGTCCATGATGTGGGCTGGTTCTGTCTGTCCTACTGTATAATGTCTGTCCATCTAGCATTCAAGGACTTAAGGATTCTCACTGGCTAGTTTTGATTTTTCAGGAATCCCTGATTTTTCTTTCCCCTTACCTTTTATGTGCCCAATCTAAATGCAAGATCTTGCTTTATCAAGTATAGACACAAGCGTTCACCCACCCAGCAATATTCTCAGAAACTTACCGTGCTGGTAAAAGTTTTACACCAAATCTTGATCATACTCTTGTTTTTGGCTGTTTCATCATTCATTGCAATTTGGTTGATAACTTTTTTATCCAGCTGAGGAAGGCAATGGACAGAAGAGAGTCAGCACGTTCTCAGAACTGATGTGGCACAGATGTTAAGCTGTTAAAAGGGGCTGAGGATGTGAACTGGACTGTGAGGGTGTGAACTGCACTGAAAGGGTGAGCTGGGACTCACTCTATCTGCACTCTCAAGGCAGAGCACAGCACCCAGATGTCAGGGGGTGCTCAATGAATGATTGTATGAACAATGAACCTGTATCTAAGAAGCATGCAGTAGATATTCATCAGATGACTGAATGACAGAAGAAAAACAGAAGGTAAGAGTGAAAGGGCGAGGTCCAAACTGGCCCCTTCTCCCCAAGGCAACATCCACAAAAGCCTCCTTTCATTTATTTCAATAATATGGACAGACCCCAGTGAGCAGAGGGGTGAGATGGAAGGAAAGGCAGTAAACTCTTCCTCTATGGCTGGGAGCAGGGTGCTACTTGAATCAGTGAGCCCACGGGTGCTGAGGCCAGTAGTGGGAACAAAGCGCCCAGGTGGCCAGTAGAGAGTCCTTGAGTCTAGAGAAGGACTCACCCCCGCCACCTGCCCCCATCCTAATAAAGATGATGCACTTGTTGAAATCAAAGAGATAATAACGGCCAATTACTCCATCTCATCGGGTGTCCCTGAAGTTCTGCCTCCCTTGGCTTTTTTCAGAGGCAGCCAAAGAGCAGTTTTTACAGACCCTCCTCCATCTCTTCCATCCCAGCCCGGTGAGGGGAGAGCAGGGGAGGGTGTTGGGGCCTTTTGTCTCTGCAGGAAGGCGAGTTACCTGGATAATGAGCTTCGTGAAGGGATCTGTGATAACTTTCAGAAGCTCCGGGGCATCCTCTCCATTCTTGAAGTTGAAGGATTCCACTACCAGGTTGGTCAGGTGCTCCAGGTAACGGGTGGCAGCCTCCAGAGGCAGAAGCACCAACACAGACAACCAGTTGAAGAAGTCATGGACGGTGGCCCCTGCAAAGGCCCTGCGGGAGGGGAACCCCATCCCGAGCCAGATTAGTCAACAAGCGATTGGGCACCATCTAGGCAGGTCATCACTTCTATCACCGGCCAGGTGCCACCTATCTGAGTGCATAGAGGTATACAGTCTCACTTTTGTTCTCACAGCAATCCCCAAAGTGAGTGGTATGAAGATCCCCATTCAACAGATGAGGAAACTAAAGGCCAGCGAGCACGGAGGAATTGAAGACCACTGCAGAAGCACCGGGTCCAGGACGCTTGTCTCCCACTGTCCGGCAGAACCCTTCCCACCAGATCAGACAGTACCCAGTTTGCTCTGCTTGGGGAAAAGGGAACTAGATGTGTTTTGGCTGCAATTATTAGTTCACGGAGCACTGTTTGAGAAAACTTCATCAAGACCAGTTTCAAATCATGCATATGGAAGACGACCTTCCTTTTGGAAAGGTGGGGGCCAGTATGAAGGTTACCATCAGAGCCTTCTACACAATTGAATTCTTAATTGTAAGACCTTGAGACCTTGATCAAATATTTGAACAGTCTCTACAGAAAACAAAGCTAATATATACTACAATTTGCATCTACCAGACAAGGTTCACTGATTCCCCCTGAATTCCATCTTACCTATCTCCAGATTAAAAAAAACTCTATAGTGTTTTTCCCTCAATGAAAAAATGTTCCTTTAAAAAAACTCTGCATGTCAAGAAATACCCAAAACAAATAGAAGATGGGACATGAAGGGACAGAAGCTATTAAACACGTAGGGGGAAATGCTTAACTTCACCAGTAATAAAAGAAATTTGCAATTTATTTGCAAGTACAAATTTTCACATTCCATTTTAACTAATATTTTACAAAGTTAACTTATCCTTCCTGGAGAGGGTGATTTAGGACATTTTCATACACTGCTGATGCAAAGTGATACAAATATTTCTTTGTAGTTTGGCAAAATGTTTAAAGAGCCTTATAGGTGTGTTTGATACAGTAATCAATCCAGGAAAAAATTACCAGGAAAGAATGATACATATTTCCAAAGATGTTACTGAAAGCAATCTATTTAAATATCCCAAACAGGGGGTGAGCTAGGCCAATTATATTCCTATGTGCAGGCACTTTCATAGATCGTATATTTATACATCCAGAGGTAAAAATTAGCGTTAACACTGAAAAGAACCCCAAATTTCCAATAAGAAAACCTGGATCGAGTCCCAGCTATGTCCCTCAGTGAAGTTACTTAACCTCTTTGTGTTCCTATATTAATAAAATGGGGCCTAGAAAAGTCTGCTTAGCTTCTTGAGAAGATCAAATTAGCAAACACCCTGGGTAATGTGTATTATTATTTAGACCTCAGAACATTTCATCAGGGTCCAGACTTTAGCCACGGTTGAGGGAAAATGAATGTCTCTGAGGACATTCACTGCCACCCATGGATGAGGGATGGTGTTAGCTGACCCCCAGCCAGCCAGTCATCCGTCTGATGCCACAGATGTCTGATGACGTCTGATGCCACAGTTGAAGTATAGTCGGTGTACAATATTATATTAGCTACAGGTGTTCAATACAGTGATTCACAATATTTAAAGGTTATACTCCATTTATAGCTCTTATAAAATATTGGCTATATGTACCTCTTACTCCCCTACTCCTATCTTGCCCCTCCCCCTTCCCTTTCCCCACTGGTAACCACTAGCTTGTTCTCATATCTGTGAATCTGCTTCTTTTTTGTTATATTCACTAGTTTGTTGTATTTTTTTAGATTTCACATATAAGTGATATCATATAGTATTTGTCTTTCTTTGACTTATTTCACTTAGCAAAATGCCCTCCAAGCCCATCCATGTTGCTGCAAATGACAAAATCTTCCTTTTTTGTGGCTGAGTAGTATTCCATTGTGTGTGTGTGTGTGTGTGTGTGTGTGTGTGCGCGCGCGCGCGCGCGCGCGTGAGTGTGCATGTGCACATCACTCTTCCGCTCATCTCTTGATGGACACTTAGGTTGCTTCCGTATCTTGGTAAATAATGATGATATGACCATTGGGGGGCATGTATTTTTTCAATTTAGAGTGTCTGGTTTTTTTGGATGGGGACTGTTTCTCTATTTTAACAAGCTGTGAAAAAAGCCCATCACCAGTTAGAAGAGAGGCTGGGAAATGTGCTTAATTTTCACATGAAACTTTTGGAAGAAAAGGGTTTCCTTTGCCTGTATTTATCCTGCCCCATTTTTATTTTATTTTATTTATTTATTTTTTTGTGGTACGCAGGCCTCTCACCATTGTGGCCTCTCCCGTTGCGGAGCACAGGCTCCAGACGCGCAGGCTCAGCGGCCGTGGCTCACGGGCCCAGCCGCTCCGCGGCATGTGGGATCTTCCCGGACCAGGGCACGAACCCGCGTCCCCTGCATCGGCAGGCGGACTCTCAACCACTGCGCCACCAGGGGAGCCCTATCCTGCCCCATTTTTAGATCTTACACATTCACAAAGGCTCTATGTTGCCTTTTATTGGCATGTGAGTGAAGAAGAGAAAGTGGCATGGGTTAAGCTGGCCAAAAATGGAAGCTTTAGGAGGTAATAATTATTTCTAAGTGAGACAGTAAATCCTATTCTAACTGGCCTTGCTTTACACCACAGGTCAAGCTTCTGGCGAGGACTTGTATTCAGGCAGCCCTGACTGTGTGCCAGGCACCTTGATAAGCATTTATCTGTATGCTGTGTGTTAACTCCTTTAGACAACACGGCAGTGATAGATACTATTATCCCAGCCCTGCATATCAGGGAGCTGAGTTTAATCAACTGATAAGTATGTGATCCCAACCCCAGCCATAGTCCACTGTGTCTTATTTCTAAAGAGGTCTAGGGATAAGAAACATGCTCTAATGTTAACGGTGGTTAGGACAACCCGGTCAACCCCAATGGGTGGTGGCAAAGGCTGATGCTGAGCCTCCTACCTTCTGAACTCACTCCGGTCTCCTGCCTGCATGAGCGCCACAATGGTGTTGGTGATGGAGGTCCCAATGTTGGCCCCCATGATAATGGGGATGGCAGCCTGCACATTCAGCACTGGAGGGTGGAAAAAAGTAAGTTATCAAGTTAGTAAGTTGAGGAAGGCAGCTTGGCCATGTTCCTGGTGTGGCCCAAGGCAAGCTGATCACATTCAGGCTGGCAATCCCCTAAAGCATCAGTTCTTAACCTCTTTAGGGTCTGTACCTCGCTGTGAATCTGACAAAAGCTTGGACAGCTCACTATAGAAATATGCACATGTACCAAAAAATAAAAAATAAAAAAATAAGTAAAACATTTTACTTTCTGTAAAATATTGTTCAGTTTCAATTTCTAATTCCTATGGATTAAAAATAAAATCAAACTGTGAAATAAAAAAAAATTTCAGCACTTAATTACAGGGAATTCAGAGTCTCCATAAAGCCATTTTGTGGACCCCAGTTTAAAAGTTTCTTTCTAAATTCCCGTCCTTCCTATTACAGATGCAAGGGTAGCTTAAAAGAGACCAACAAACAATGTGTAAGGACTTGTGTATTTATTATGGCAAATTTATGGCAGTATAATTTCTTTTTCTAACAAAATTAATATATTGCCACATGTTCTAATATATGAAAGTATTTTGAAGAAGTAATGAATAACTTTTTCTAATTTGGCCTCCAAACGTTCTAGTTAATTTTAGCTAAAATGCTGGTTTGGGCTGAAAATTAACCAGTTCAAACTGTCCACCCCAGAGGGTCTGTCTCAACTTAGCCAGGGCAAATGTTGAACAGGTTTAAGTTGGGAACATCAGCTCCCCAAGCTCAGTTGCCCCAAAGCCAGTGTGTGATGTGATTACACGGTTTTATTCTTAGCCCTGACAGTGGTGATGGAAATGTTCTAAATCTATGTGGTCCAATATGGCAGCCGCTAGCCACATATGACTACCGATCCCTTCAAATATAGCTCTTGCAGCCGAGCAGCTGAATTTAAGGTTAAATAAAATGAAATAGGGAGCTTCCCTGGTGGCGCAGTGGTTAAGAGTCCGCCTGCCGATGCAGGGGACGCGGGTTCGTGCCCCGGTCCGGGAGGATCCCACATGCCGCAGAGCGGCTAGGCCCGTGAGCCATGGCCGCTGAGCCTGCGTGTCCGGAGCCTGTACTCCACAACGGGAGAGGCCACAACAGTGAGAGGCCCGCGTACCGCAAAATAAATAAATAAATAAATAAATAAATAAAATGAAATAGCCACATGTAGCTAGTGGCTGCTGGACAGGATAACACAGTTCTAGAGAATTCAGAATTGAGTCTTCAAGCTTTGGGGCCAATTTTCAGACTCAGCCATGGGAAGGGAAACAGGAGACTGCCTATGATCTAAGCTGGAACACATCATAGTTAGACAAGATAAGAAGGTAATGGTGATAAGCCTGGATATATTCAGAGTAAATCCCAGCCTCACCAGCTGAACAGGGAAATGCCTGAAATGTTATCTGGGCTCATGGGTTCTTGGACTCACATGAGGAGGCCACCATGCTGACGACAATGGACGAGGAGGTACTGGAACTCTGCACCAGGACAGTCACTAGCACCCCGATCACCAGCCCCGCCACAGGGTTGGACATGATGGAATTGTTGCTGAAGAACTGCCCGGCCACCTTTCCTGAAAAACAAACCCATGGCCACGTGATGGGGGTTAGGTGGGTGCTGAGTAACAGAAGTCTCCGGTCAAGACCAGCTGGCCATAGGTACCAGCCTCCAGACTTTTATCTTGGGCATCTTGCTTCCTCGGGCTTCTCCCCAGTGCTTCTCTGATGCCCTGGCTCTGCCTCTGTGACCTAGTTCCCCATCCACCCCTGTTCCTCTTGTTCCTCCACCCCACTTCATCCTTCAACCATCTTTCAACCACTTTCCATCCTTCAACCACTTTCATCAGCAAGTCCCCCTCTAGTCTTCTCTTTTCATGAACCTGGCCTCAACTCTGTACTTGGCCCAATGAGTGCCAGTGCATCTCCTGATGCCCTCATTCTTGTCCCTGGGATGTATGCCCAATTCAGAAGATTTACCCAAGTGGATCTTCTCATTCTTTTCTATCTACCCCCTTAGACCCCAGCCCCTAGCCCCAGCCTATAATTGAATTCTGGGAGTGTCATTTTTGAGAATGTGCCTCTGAGACCATCAATCCACCCTCCAATACATTTTTTAAAAAAGACTGAGGCCCAGAGAATGCAGAGTGGAATGACTTGTCTGAGATAGAGTACAAGGCCCCTTACTGATGCTGCCTTGGACCAGGGGGACCAGAGTGGCATCCAGCAAGTCGGTCTGCTCCTCACACTTTCCCAGTTCTCCCAGGTCACAAAGATGAGTTCTCAAGAAAGGCACCAAGGGGTGCAGAAACCTATGGTCTTCCATGTCACCGGATCTGAGTTTAAATCCCACTATGCCAATTATGGCTGTGAAACTCAGTGTGGGGCGGTGACCTTCTTGAGCCTTGGCCTATTCCTCTGTAAGTGGGAAGGACTTTTGGGATAGAATGTTTAAGACAATGCCCCTGGAAGTGCCTACCTCAGTAGGCATTCAAAGTGTTGGCTCTTACTGTTGTCACCCATCAGGGATGCACAGGTGACCAGGTGTATGGTGATTACACTTCAAGGTCCCCTCACCCTCCATAGCCACACTCAGTGGTGGGAGGTGTTTAGGCAACTGCTCTGAATGCAGATCCCCTAGCACAGGACCCCTATCCTTCTCCAGCAAAGGGCCAGCTTTGATTTTTAGCAGTGGCTTTAGCCTAGGAACACTCTTATTCAATAATCCCCTCAGGTGGGGAAGCCCAAAGACAGCAGGGATCCCTCAGATAAAGCTTTAGGTCAAACAGCTTCCTGTCCAGTGTTCACAGACAAACACATGGAGCTGATTGCTTGGCCTTGGCTCTAGCCCTGGCTCTGGCCTAAGCCACTTCAGCCAGCCAGTCATAGCTCTTTCATGGGCCTCAGTTTTCCTTTCTGTAAAATGGGGGCATGACTTCACAAGATGATCTGAGGTGGCTTCCAGTCCTAAAATACTCCAGGAGGCTGCAGCTGGAGGGGGCCTGCTGAGTTGTGACTTTCCAAACCAAATTCAATGAGAACACCACCCCCAACCCAGACCTTTGACCTCTTCCATCCATACCTCCAACCAGCTGGAAGGCATTGCTGAGGACATCCAAGGAGCACACGAAGAAGTAGAGAAATACCAGAAGTAAAATAAATTTCCCAATCCCTTGGAAGACACAGAGAATCTTCCCTTTGGTGTCTCTCTCTGGGGGAGGGGAAAAGGCATGAAGGCTCTTAGTGTCTGAAACACTGAGAAGTTTGACAATGAGTTCGGAACTCCCCCACCTCCCCTCCCAGCCAGGCAGCTGTAATCTTATGGATCACAAGACCTAGAGATGGGATGTGTCCACAGCTGCAGTTTTCAAAGCAATTACCACTGTACTCCATTTAATTGAAACCTGTGGTGAAATGTCTCTAAAGCATTTGGCTCTGGGAGGAGGGGCCAGTGGGCCCTGGGGCACACACAGGCCAAGCCGGGCACATGCTTTTGCTGGGCTGAACCAGGGTCACTGATGAGCCGTTAAGAGCACTTGCCCCTTGCTAAGCGTGGGGTCAGAGATACTGGCTGTCCTAAGCACCTTCAGAACCGCACAGAATACTTTCTACAAAGTGGCCGCAAGGCAGCCATCACAGCCTCCATCTGGGAGGGCTTGGGCCCTCATACATGCTGGAAGGCTACCTCCTTGGTGGCTGTTTTCGACACTCACTTTTCAATTTTTTTTTTTT